GTAGGAGCAGAAGTAGTAGTAGTAGTAGTAGCAGTAGTAGTAGTAGTAGTAGTAGTAGTAGTAGTAGTAGTAATAGGTAGTAGTGGCAGTAGTAGTAGTAGTAGTAGTAGTAGTAGTAGTGGTAGTTGTGGTAGTTGTGGTGGTGGTAGTAGTAGTAGTAGTAGTAGTAGTAGTAGTCTACGACTACGACTACGACGACGACGACGACGACTACTACTACTACTACTAGTTCGAGCAAGGTTAGTAGCTATAGTAGAAGTTTTTGTACTGTGGAAGCACTAGGGCGAGCCTCAATAGATAAACGAATACTAGCCGTGACCCCATGGCCCTACGGAGGAAGCCAAAACGCCAGAAAGCCACAAAACCGGGAAGCCACCAGCCAACAGCACACCACCCGAGAGCCCAAGAAGCGCAAACCCGGAAAGCCACAAAGCGGGAGAAGCCAGTAAGCCAAATGCCGCAAAGCCAACTGGCCGAAATGCCAAAACACGGCTCAGAAGCCAAGAAGCCCTTGACTTAGCTCTTATGTTTGGAGCTTAAACTGATGCTTTTGTGTATGCTATTGATCCTTGTTATTGTTCGATCTCTACCCCTGTCATTTCTGTCTTCAGGCTGAGTGCTGTCGGGCCGTTGTGAGATCATGTACGTGATGCTTCACTTCGATTGAACGGATGCCACTTCCGCTTCCTGTTGCGAAGCTTCCGCCTGAGGCAAGAGCTTCGCAAGCACCGAAAACAGCAGCGACAGCTTTCGCGTCGTTGAGCTTCAAGGCGATTCGAAGCGCCCCCACGTACTCCTGAGGTCAAGGCATCATTCGCAAGGTCGACAGTTCAGACTCAGCCGCCTTGTACTTCAAGTAGAGGTTCATGCAAACGTTCAGGTACATTACCTTGTCCGCCTGTTTTGTCCATGTGATCGCAGTTGCATACAGGAGCTGCAATTCACACTCGTCCCAACAGAAAGCGAGAACAACCAGCAGTTCTGTGCTCAAACAGAAATACATAGGCGACTCAAAGTCATGTTTCCGCCACCTGAGTTGCCGCAAAGTTGGCAAGGCCCTGTAGGTACAGGCACACCTCGGAAAATGTCGGAAGAGTCGTCATGCAGGTCCAATGCAGCTGTGGTTATCTTTCTGAGCCGTGCAAAAGCAAGCAACAAAGTGACCATTCAGGTTTACAGGAACTCAGATTCCGTAACTGCATACAATAATATACAATAAGATAACAGCAAGTCAGCACGGTAGAAGCTTAAGCCCCGGACTCTGATAAAGGACGGCTCTTCGCAAAGCTTCTCGATCCTTCGTCCACGCAGCAAACAACCCTTCAACAGTGGCGCCCAGGTTCAGTTCACCTTTAGCACCCATGTTCTAGCCGAGATCAGGAATGAACATGATGACAAGGTAGTGACTGACTGGTGCAAATTTGTCGTCTGATACGGATACGGTGCGCCTCTTCGGAAAGCACAACTCATCACAACTGCCTACTCGTGCGTCGACTTGAACATTGACATAGAGACGACTTGTACGACTTTTAGCTGCAGCTAGAAGCCCTGACACAGCCATTGAGAGTTCTGCCCTCTATCGCAACATGCAGGAATGACGTCTGCACTTGGTCAACTTCGCAAAGAAGATCAACAGCATCCTCGGAAGAGAGTCTGCAGGCTCATGTCATCACGCAGCGAAACGAAGACTCGATCTCGGCTAACCTCCAAACCAAGGTGACGTGCTCCGAGCGAAGCACCACTTCTGCATTGTGCTGCATGTTGAAAGGCACGATCTCCTTCCAAATGCGCGAATTATCGCAGTGTCGAGAGTGCTTAAAGACGAAATCACCCAAGGGCGAAGGGTGGATCGACGATGCTGCCTCAACGAGTGCTAAAAGGTCGCCCACGTCAGTGCCTTTGTCGGTGCGCTCCTTGAACTCCTTGCGATGGGCATGCTGACGGAAATGCTTCTGTTATACCGAAATCGCAAGCATTTACATCTCACATATTACAGCCACGTCGGAAGCGGTGACAACGCTCTGTTCTTCAGACAACCCAGCACGCCCAGCCTCTCCGATCTCACCGGCAATGTTTCGTATGTATTCATGGCCTCAGCACGACATCAAGAGGCCAACTACGAGGGCCGATCGATGGCCCATCGCAGTTTCATGTGAGCGCACTGCCCTCGAAGTCGCCGAGGGTGGGACCCCAACTAGTGAGGCCTTCCTTCGTTCCCTCCAACCGGTACTTTAAAGCTTGTCTGGACCTGAGTCTGCGAGCTGCCCGAAGTCTTCACGCCGCATGAGGCGCGGCTGAGAGTCCTGCCCTTCCTTTTGCATAGTGGTTGATAGGATGGACAGCACGTCAGCGAAGAATCGCTTCAAGTCGTTCGCAGGCATCTGTTGGGCAAAGGAGGGCTGTCTGCTTTGAATAAGTCTTCATGTTACACCTGGGTCCCAAGAAGCGACAGTTGAGCGGCATGTTGTAATGACCCGATGAACTGCAGAGTCTGCCGGGTTTTCAATGCACCGGAAGAACAACCTTGCCATGCTCTCCTGCAAGCAACAGCCTCGATCCACTACCCTTCGAGCATCCAAGTCGAGGCTCGACGGTGGCCCTAAACCGCTCCGCTGACGAAGCTTTCCCGTCGTTCATTATTCTCGCACACGCGCAGGGGTTAGGGCGAACTCTTCGGTCCCAAGGGCACGGTGCTTGAGTTGAGCTTTTGCAGATCCGTTCCATCTTTTGTTTGTGCTTTCGTCTGCCTCCTCGTGCAGGGAACAGTCTCGCGGAACATCAACAAAGGCGCTAGCATACTCACGCCTTCCACTTTCGTTAGCGATGCCCCGCTTCCCGGTTCTGCTGGCTGGGCCCAGCCCATTGCAGGTGCCTGTGCTTAACATTGAATGGATTGCTCTTTGCACCATGCGGCATCATCTAGGTTCGTCAACACCGTCAGTGGTTAGGCCGTGCCGGGGAGTCTTGCTTTTTTGACTGAGGCCTCTGCCCAGCCAGGCTCGAAGGCTCGGTCTTATGGGACAAAGCCGGGCAGCCCCACGCGATTTGTCAGTATGCATGATCTTCAAAAGGAAATTCAAGCAGAACCTGGCTGAACCTACCAGTAGCGCCAAGCTCGAAGTCCTGAGCCTGAGGTCCTGAGCATTTACCACCAGCGGTTCGAGCGGTGGGATAAATGGCGATGTCTTTGTAGAGTTGCCACGAGGCCCAAATCTCCAGCCGATTTCCAAAAAATCTGATTGCGTCCCACCGGCACCTGCCCCGCCAGTAGCGGCCTAGTGAATATTCAACCAGTGGCGCTTTCGACACAGCGAGCGGCCGGCTCGCCAAACGAAAAGTTGAATCCCTGATTCCTCAGGATCCTGTCTCAGCCTCCAACCCCCGGGGTCGAGCACGCTAGCACGCTTCTGAGCACTTGAGGGACTGATGTGAGCTTCGACGTGGTTGAACAGTTACGCGGTTGCAGGCCCGTCATCCCAGATGCGCACGGCCATTTAGGCCCTTCGCAGCTTGGGTCGAGCTTACAGGGCAAGCCGTTTGACCAATGACAGCGCTCAGATGCATTTAGGTGCAGCAGCAGCAGAGTAGTCAGCTGAATGTCTTGAAACGACTCCGCAACTATGATGCCTGACGTTTCTCATCGTTTCTCCTAAACAGCCCTTTCGCAAGACCTGCGGAAAGTTAGCACCTTAGGCAATTCCGGCCATTGACCTTGGCATAGTGCTCGGTCAGGGTGGAGTAATGAGGTCGCAGGAACTTCAACGGCTTCGGAACCTTTGAGAAAACTGTAGCGACAAACGCGGGACCAGTGTGATAGAACAGCAGTGCTTCTTAGGATTGCACAGATGTCATTGAGCTTGTGGACTCCTTGAGCTCCTTCACCATCGCCTGCAAAAAGTCGTCATTTCACAGGTGCATGATGTGCACAGCTCGCTACAAAGGGCACTTCGCAATCTTGGTGCAAGTTGAGGGACTCTTATGCCAAGAGGTCGCCACAGTGGTCCGTGCAATGAAATGCTGCACAACCACTAAGCCCACTGAGCAACGCCCGCTTGCGCGCTGCGCGGGGACCGTGCCTCCATGGCCATTTTGGCCACTCCCTGGTCGGAGTCCTGCTTGGAAAGCGACATTTCTACCGCTCTTGCAGTGTTTACCGGTCTACCCCACTGCACCGGCTTGCAAGAGCGCAGAACCGAGGAAAGCGCATGCAGATTGCTGACTCATGTTGCAGTCTCCCTTCTTGGGTCAGCTGAGAAGGCTTCCAGAGTCCATGATGCAAGCTGTTTTGATGGCACAGGCTGCAGGCACAATGGTAAGACGCTGCCAGGTGTAGAGAGCTCTGATATTATCAGGAGCATTCGCATCTCAATGCAGCAGCGCGTCAATCCGACATTCGAAGAGTTGCATGCAGTGGGAGGTGATCGGATGGTTCTTCTGCATTGGGGAACGGCCCGTTGACATTCTCGGTCTCCTTTGGCAGCTGCTGGCCTCACTAGGGCGATTGCCAAACTGCACTCACAGTGCAGCGCAGAACAGCCCAGTCACACGCCACCACTTTGAGGCGCCCAGGACTAAACCAAATGTAATCCTCGGAGCTGCGAGATCAGCACACGAACTGACGATGTTTACAGCTCGGTTTCATGCTTGTCAGGCGAGGGTCAAGGGTATCAACGAAAGCCTCCTTGCTCATTGCGGACATGGCATAATTTGTAAACATTGGCTCTTGTCCATGAAAGTCCTGACCAAAGCACTCCCAGCGCTGCAAGTTACTGTCGGGAGTCGTTGGCCAGAACTGACCGATCTCCGCTAAGACCAGATATGAATGAGGACACAGTGTTCTCGGACCTTGGTCACCTTATGTCACCTTCACACCAAGGCGGCGCAGGAGTTTGTCGGTCGCCAAAGAATCGCTCATGCAGTCCTTGTAGGCACTTCTGAGGCCATCGGGGAACTCGGCAATGGGCAGTTGTTCGAGTCCATGAACTTCATGCTTGCTGCCCTGCATGCTGCTTTACCTCTCGACCCCGACCCCCAGCACTGACGCCCCACCCTGACCCAACTCGGGGAACTCAACGCAAAGTGATTGAGTTGGCGGAAAGACTTCAATAATAACGCGTTAAGTCCACGTTGTTCTGATGCTGGATGTGCCTGCTTCGAGACGGTAGCTATGGAGCCGCCACTCTCGATCAAATGATAGGAAGATGTGCCTGAGAAGACTAAACACAGGCTGGGCATGTTGAAGTGCCGCAACCCCCACCCGGTATCGAACTCAAAACGTTGGTTCGACAGACTCACCATGACTCATGCCTGGTTTGATGTTGAAGTCGCCCATCAATGCAACTGGTGCCTCTTGGAAACCTACCATCTTCACAGATCCGGAGAGACATGAGGCATACACAGGCATGCACACTCTTTATATCTTGTTATGCATGCCAGATTGTGCTGTACCGGGCCTTTCTTGACATCGGCGGCTGCAAACCGCTTCAGCCTCGTCCGCACTTGGAGATGGGGGCCAGGTCTACTTTCAACCGACGAGTGACATCAAGCGACAATATGCAAACACTTCCATGGAACAGTCAACTGTATGACTGTATGAACCTGTTCAGCAGAAGCTGGCTGTGGATGTTCACCGCTCGAACCTTCTCCGTCGTGCCTGGCACTGACAGTACAGCGGGGGTTCTCTTATTGGCTTGAGAGCTCGTGATCAATCGCGCCCTCATGCAAGCAAGATGCCGAACAAACACGGCATGTGATGCGTGGCAACGCAGAAATCACAGGATGTCGCTCTGGGTCTTAGCCTGACCAGGATAGCCTCGTTCATGCCTGGCGTCGCCAAGATAAGACAAGTGGATGCATCAACAAACCCCGTTGGCCAGAGCCCAAACTCAAAGGAAAGACAGCCCTGTGCATCGTCTAATTATCCGCGCTCAAGTGAGTCGAGCCACGACCCTGTGCAAGCTTCCACTCCCCTCCCTCTGTTTCGAATTCTGGAGGTCTGCATCCCAATATGTCCTGCAGCGGTTCAAGCCAGGGGCCGCAGTATGCCCCCGTGGTGCATTCATAAATCAAAACAATGAGGGTCCGTCAAGCCCTGGTAGGTGAGGTATCCGAAACGAGCAAGAGGACCAGCTTCGGATCTTGGCCACACTCGCTTCGGAGCTGTATCAGTTAGCTTGCAGAGCTCCACGTCCAAGGCCTGCGGTGGCCCGGGTCAACATGTTTCAGATTATTCAGTCAGAACCCGATCGTGCTTCAATTTCCAATAACAATCAATAGTACGCGAGAGAATCCAAAAACATTCTAAGAGAGGATTGATGTGGCTCAATGATGCGAGCCTCGGAGGACACAGGCCATGGTCTGGAAAAAAGCTGCTGATTGAAATGCTACAAGTATTCAGCATCTCTTGCATCTAAGGTCTGTTGGAAGGGTACCTTCACAACCAGTCCCAACCAAACAGCGTCCGTGGTAGTGTCAGTGAAGGGTGGGGCTGTCTGTTCGACGTACATGCTGTTAGCACCTTCTCGCTGACAAGTGCTGTTCTCACCCCAGCCGCCCGTCAAACGATGTCAAACGCCTACGTATGTCCAAGAGCCTGAAAAACTTTTGTAGGCCACGCCATCATCACACCCATGTAACCTTGGGTGGTGATGACGGTGCATCAATGACTTCTGTGGCCCAAGGTCTTGTGATCAGACCTGGTGCACTTATGCCACCAGCCACTCTCTTATTCGTGCTGCAGCCCAGTGTCCATTCATTTGCTTGCCTGACATGCCACGTCTCATACCAGAGGCATCTCAAGCAAGTAGCAAGGAAATGTGGCAACTCTTGAAACGACTGGGGAGCACCATACTGAGCAAACACCACCGCATATCCGCGCTCTGCAAAGAAAGCGTGAAGGTTCCCTGCCCATTCCAGGTCGACCTCCTGCAAGAGCGGATCACATGGTCTCAGCGCCCTTGAGCGGAATCGCTCGCCCCTCTCAAGAGAAAGCAACACGGAATCAACCTAGACTCGGCGATGAACCTGCAACCCCAAAACCAATCTTGGATCCCGGCCTGCATTCGAACCACCAGCTACCCCACCTACCCCACCCAGCCGACCTCCACCACCCCATCTGCCCCACGTGAATCCAGCAAGAAACTTTTGCCGAAGACGAAACCCGAAAGGAATGAATCCAGCCAGATCCTTTTGCCCAACACGCAACCCCAAGGAGTGAATCCAGCGAGAACCCCGGTAAAAACGAAAACCTCAACTGAACCTGGTGTGACGTTTCTGGTCTTGTGCTAAATACAGCACAAAAGTTGCGGTTTGGTACTAAATACAGCGGAAAAGTTGATACACCATAAATAGTTAGTGGCCTGGTGCTAAAGACACCAAAAAGAGTTATAGCTAAGATGCCTGTTTCGCAACCCTCTGCAGAGATTTGCTGTTTTCGGAGCCGATAAACAACATAAAAAGTTAAGACCCAGTCATTTGGTTCAAAAGGCTGGAAAGTTACATCCAGGATAACAAGTCACAACTACGTGTTCTACCTGCATCCGACGCAAAATGCATGTGCCTATGTGTGCTCCAATGAACGAGTCCTCTCGTTCTCCGTGGCGTTCTTCCCCAAATTCTCTTCTAATTTCACAACCCGAGGCAAGAGCAGAACAAGGCCGATCTCGCCTGCAATGCAATGATCCTGTCGTCATCGACGGCCTTCTGCATCCGGCTAAGAATTTTCGGCCATCGAGAATCTTTCGCCAAGTCCTGCTCAGTTCGCGCTCGGTGCGTTCGGCAAGACTCGCTAGCACAACTGAAGCAGCATGCCTTCACGTGTCGTTGTGTCCTCGCGTGCATAGGAGGGGTACTGTTGTGGTGATGCCAGGCGAGGTGACAAGACATTGTAGGTCGTCAGCTTTAGGTCCTTCATGAGACAATCGGGCAGACGTGAATAATGGACTAATCTGCTTGATAGAGTGAACATGCCAATGAGTGCACCGGCAGGACCGGCAAGGAATCTGCCATGATTTAAGGATGGATCTTGAAACTGGAATGAAGCCAAAAGGCTGTGTCACACCTCACGAGCTTCGTCGACATCCAGGACCTTGGAACCGCGGAGCGCAACAGATGCTAACGGTTCACTGCCACCCAAGTCGAAATGCACGTAGTGCCTGCACTCAGCACAGAATCCAGAATCTTGAAACATCTTGAGGTCTGAGGAACTCTGCCGAATGTGACCGTGTCCACACATGCTGCAAGGTTGCACAGCTCCTGCCATCGCCGCAGCTGCGCCCAGCTTCTGAAAACGATTCCATCTGGCGGAAGCAGTTTCCTCGGACTTGAGATGAGGCTAGCAGTTCTTGACTCGAACAAAGCGGCATATTGGATGTTCACCCAATGCAGACACCGGTGCATTGATGCCACAAGCTGGAATGCGAGCAACGGCTCTGCACCATTGGATCGGATATGAGCCACTCATAGCTAGTGGCTCTCTGCAGCACTGCGCCTTCTGAGTCTGGAGTACATCCTACTGCACTTCTGACTCCGGCACTGGCTCTTGAATTCAATGCTTCCTTGTATTCTGTTTGCAACTCTGAGCCAGCTGATTTCACACAAACTCTGCCGCACGGCGCACTGTGCGTCCGCTGGTTGTGACCTTCTTGGCCAGTCCTGTGCCCTCTGGACGAGAAGTTCGAGTTCCTCCTTCTTCTGGCGGTCTTCTTCGGACAGCTCCTTTGCTTGCGAGCTTTGTATCATGGAGCAACTCAGCATGAGGTTGAGTCCTCCTCCTTTTCCTTGACGCTCTTTTTCTTGCTGTCCTTCTTCACCTGTCCAGCTTTACAGTGATGACCCTCTTCAAAGATGCAGCTTGCAGCAACACCTCGGGGGGTTCGCCGCCCTTGCTCGGAACAGAGAGGGCAACGGCCTAAGGACACCGGTCGTGCAAGTTGTGAAGCGACTCTTGGTGATACAAGCACGTCGTGTTCTAGTGTCTATTCTGTAAATGTACTGACTGACATGTTCTTGTCTAGGTCTTGAGACCACGCTACAGGCCCCCGACATCCTTCTCACTCTTTTCGTTGACCATATTACAGGTCGCCCTCGCCTTGACAAAGCATGTGAGGGTTCCGGTATCAGTTTCAAGATGTGCAGGAATGCACCTCCCCCCCAGCTGCGCGGCGCGCGCAAGCCAGATGCAGGGGGCCTGAATTGAATTCCCTGAGCCAAGGCACTGTCGTTTGGACAGAGGCAGCAAGGAGGGATTCGAGCAAATTCACCACTCTGCTGGCAGGCTGTGCATCGTTCCATCAAGATTAGTCGGCGACGATGAATTGCAAGTAAACTCCAACGAACCCTGGACGTCTGTGCAGCACATACACCATGTCACATATGTCACTATCAAACATTCTCTGCACTGTGGAGGACGAGTGCCCCGAGTGAAACTGGAGGCCGGCTCATGGCATCACACCTGCGACAGCAAAGCTCGAGAATTTGGATGGATGGTGGAGCAGCATCAATGCGGTGGTGGATCGCAGGGGATGTGCCGAAGGGCCGCCAATCACTGTTGTCTGTCAGAGTCCCCCCCACACTTCAGTTCTACGATCCGTTGCTGCCAAACGAAGGTGTGTTTGATTTACCGAACTCTCAATTGTCTCACTGTTCGAATGCTCAAGGTTGTTTCCGAGGGGGTGAATATGGCGAGACTTTACTTGAAATGGGTTTGCAAGATACGGCTCGGAAAGAGGACTCATAACGGGAGTGGCCTGTGTCATAGCGTGTCGCTTGCAAGAAGAACCTGCTCTCCGCCCGTGCAAACTGTCAAGGCCCTCTGCTTTACGTATCCGTACAGTGTCCAAGAGCCGCAGACATGCCTGTGCGGGCTTTCCTGAACTGCACGCACACATACATCGCAATGTTGCACGGGCTGACGGTCTTCGCATGCTTAGGTAGATATGAACCCAGCAAACAAAGCCCTTCTGTCCACTGCTACCGCGCTGTTGCACTGGAATGTGCTAGATATTCCCGTGCTAGTCTCCCAGTGCTCGCACAAGACCCCGCTGCACGTCAACTCCATAGGTCGTCTTTGGTCCAAAAGTCCAGAGGATGGCTGTGACATGCTGTGACCATGGCATACCATGGCTCTAGACTCTAGTCTAACTGCGGTGGAATTCTACAAAAACAGTCTCGACTGAGCGCCATCGAGGGGTCTCTGTGCTGCTGCAAAGAGAACGCCGAAGCGCACAGAGTGCCGGAGGGTGCCTGGGTTCTCCCGACGGCTTCATCTGAGTCCTGCAAGGACCCGCTCATGTAAACTTGCAGCACGTGTAGACCTCATAAGACACGCTGGCGACTGCTACACGATCTGTTAGGAGATTCTGACAATGATGTATCATGTGGAAGGATCATCAGAGCTAGGTCCGCCAAGGCTGGATCGAGGGTCTTGCGTGCTGTCCAGTTTTCATGCGCCGCAGTGTGAGACCTTTGACGCCATCATTTTCAGTCTGTGGCATACTAGCGGGAAGCTAAGGAAAAGAGCGGCAGAAAAAACATGCGTCATCCATCGTCATCCTGCCATCCCGAACAAAGCCGAAGACTAGGACTTGTTCGACTTGGACTCTTTGCCTTCCTTGCTCAAGGAGACATCCTGGCCGTCATCATCTTCAAGCCCTTCCACATAAGCATCGACAAGCGCATCGAGTTCCTCGGTGCCCAGCTCAGAAGTACCTTTGCTTTCCACGTCGTCATCTTCAGGCTTGGACAATGTGGCAAACTCACCTGCCCTCATCCTTGCCTGAAAGACACGATAGAGGGAAGTGGAGCGAGGCTGTCCATCAACTGTCTTTCGCGGTTTCAGGCTGGCAACCCAGGAGAGTGCAGTGGCTGCGCCACCTAAAACGATCACGACGGAAAGCGCCAAGCCGAGATTTGGTGCTTCAAAGTCTGCCAGCGCTGGCAGTGGAATCACAGATGTGGCTACTGGTACTACGAAGTGCGGCTTCTTCCCTATCAGCGGCACGAAGCTTAGTTGTATGCAGGTGCCAAAGGCCAGAAGTCCGAATCCACAGAGCTTGCCATGGCTGTTTGCTGCATATCTCCTGCGCTCATGATTCATTCCGACTTGACCTTGCCTTTTGGCATGGCTCGAGCTCCGCAGCTGCTACAAGCATGCCTCACAAAACTGTGTGCGTCGGACAGCCTACAAGCTGAATCTATTTTGTCGATTCACTGTCGGCAATCTATCTCAAGCCGTCCTCGTCTTGTCGATGAGCCTGTTCGGGTGCGGGCTACATCTGCTTCATGCTATCTCCACTGTTCGATGAACAAATCCGGGCGTCTACAGCAAGTCTGGGGAAGGCCTGCAAACTTGGGATTTGCTCATAGTCGACGGCAGATGGTGCACGCTTGGCAACCTGCCAACTCTGCACACTGGAGGGATCATCCGTCTTGCATGGTGCTTTCTCGTGCAACCGGATCTGCAAATCCACAAGAACACGCTGCCATGCTGATTGAAGCCAGGGAACGCGTCGCTGCGTAACAAAGGGCTGCAAAGCCATACAGATGCACATGGCCTGAATTTCAGAGTCGTATGTGCAGAGGGATCGTGTGTTTCTGCTCCTGTATTGTCGCAGGCTCCGACCACAAGGGTGGCACCCAAGGCCAGGAGTATCCAAGTCGCAGATTCCGAGTCCTGTCCAGAGGCTTAGATTGCATAAATACTGTAGTCTTCGATATTGTGCCGATCACAGACCACTGGGCAACGCAATCATGCCTCATCCACCACGCTCTGTTTGCCTGACAAGCTGCGCAAGGATAGTCACACCTTGTTACCAATCCTTACCAATCTCACTATATCTCACTGTCAAGACTTCTGGGCCTTGCGAAGGCATCGAAGTCAGAGAGAGTGGTGTAGATGCCAGGCCAGCCAAATTGAGATTGTGCGCCGACTGCCTGTGAGCAACGATGCTAGGGTGAACATGCACTAACGTCTCGTTCGCCCGTCCCCCAAACCCTGTCGCCAGATCCTGTGCAGCAAGGCTTGGGGCTCCCTGCGCTCTCGGAGACCCGGGCCTTTCTGAAGTCTGAGAAGCCGTCGTGAGGGCTGTCGTCGTCGGCATCCTGATCGGGGAGAATCGGAGATCCATGGGTGGTTGAAAACCGTGCGTGGACGCAAATCCCAATGGAACTTATTCAGCGACGTGATTCGGAGGAATGAAATAAGGATTTGCAAGATTGCAAGCTAGCTTCAGAACAGGAATGGCGGATGTGGACCGAATGCATTCACAAAGTGAAAGAGATCTGTTGGACGGTGTTTGAAGTCCATGCTGTTCAACATGTTCCAGCTGGTCAGCTTCTCTCTGGCGTTGTCTGAGAACGCGTTGCGCTTGAACAGGGAAGGACACGGCCCTGCAATGGAGTTCTGCTTACATCACTGGCTGAGGCGACAGAACCACAGGCGGAAACCACTGCAGGAAAACCTTCCGCGACCCAACCCGTGTGTGTCCTATGCCTTTACACATGGTCACTTGAACGAGGCTGGGCAGAATGCTGCAGTGGCGCAGCATGTCCCTGCCACTGCCGAACGGCACTGTGAGCTTTACTTGAGACACTCCTGGAGCAAGATGGTGCTGGCGAAGGCATCGCCACGTCTTGCGTTAAGGCCACTGTGGGCCATATTTCATAGTCGGCAAAAGGACTAACATCTGCACATATCTGCGCATATTCTGCAGCTGCACATCACCATCCTCGTTGCCAATGCTGATGAAGGCGTGGCTGCCACCTAGCACGACTTGCCATATGGTTAGTCTTGAGATTGAGACTGTTGCATGCAATACCATCAACCGCCTTTGTGCTACAGAAATACCCGGGCTTGACGAGCATGCAAGCCACGAGAAGCTTCCACAAATACAAGTCTTGCGTGCGTGTTGCGAGACTCGTGACTGCCAGTGTCTTGGCACGGTTTTGGCATGGACTTCACCAGACCAGCCTTGTAAGAATAATTCGGCCGTCGGCAAGACTGCCACTCTACCTTACCGTGCTGCTCCCCGGCCGGGACGTCGTCGTGCCCATGTCTCTTACCTTTAGAGCGCCCAAGGCATTTCTATAGAAGGTTGTTTCTTGTGGTTGGGGCAAATGTGCCAAAATACGAAAACATACAAAAAATACGAAAACATACCAAAAAATACGAAAACACACAGAAAAATACGAGAGAACATACCAAAACATACGAAAACAAACCAAAAAATACAAACTAATACCATGGACATGCGAAAAAATACCATAGGCATTCGAAAACATAAGATATCGTGCCATTGCTTGCCGGGGGGTTCTGCTGTTGGAATGTGCCGCGGGGAGACTACCATTGTATGTATCCAAACCTAGTAATTTCTTTATATAATGCCATATTGCTGCATCAAAGTAAACCGCTTGCCAGTAGTTTTTTTGTATTTTTGTTGTATTTTTGGTGTATTTGTTTGTATTTTTGTGTATTTGTTTGTATTCTTTGTATTTTTTTGTGGTTTTTTATATTTTTTGATTTTTTTGTATTTTGCTGATATTTTTGGGTATTTATCTTGTATGTTCTTGTATATTGCTTGTATTTGTTTGTATGTTAACTGTTTCTGTATTGTGCACTTTTATGTAGCCGGCATCTCTGCCAGTGTTAGTTTCGGTTTTGTTGCTGTGGTACTTGGATGTCGTTTCTGGTAGTTGTTTCTAGTAACTCGGTATGTCTGTAATGCTTTTCTCGTATGCTGGCAATACTTTTTCGTATGTTGGAAAAATTTTCTCGTATGTTGGTAGTATTTTCTGGTATGTTGATGATATTGCATTTTTTGTATGGTGGAAAATGGCAAGAAACTACCTTCTATAAATATACCTTTATCATTCTTTTGATCTTAATGACAACAATCGCTTACACATGAAAGATGCATAGATCCCTGACAATCGCGCTTTTTCCAACTGCTTTCACTTCGGTGGCGTCTTCTGCGATGCGACTCCATA